AGGCCCAGGGGCCACATCGCTCACCTGAGCAATTGGCTAGGAAAAAGCACATATCAGATCAGAACTGAAAGTTTACTGAGAGCGAGGGGGAGGGGGCTTGAATTTTAAATCCCCAGGGGATCATGATTTGAACAAACTAGAATCTACATTACCTGAGGATTATTCCCTATAAATATCGCTAAGCATGGCTTTGAAGTACTTGAAAAGAAGATTTTAAAAGGTTTCCGTATATATATTCCTATGTAAAACTTTGATCGGCCATTTGGCCCCACCCTACCCCCGAGGGATCATGATTTGAACAAACTTGAATCTACATTACCTGAGGATTATTCCACATAAGTTTCATCTTTCATGGCCCGGTGGTTCTTGAAAAGAAGATTTTTAAAAGATTTTTCCTATATATTCCTATGTAAAACTTTGATCAGCCATTTTGGCCCCACCCTACCCCCGGGGGGTCATGATTTGAACAAACTTGAATCTACAATACCTGAGGATGATTCCACAGGAGTTTCATCTTTCCTTGCCCAGTGGTTCTTGAGAAGAAGTTTTTTTTAAAGATTTTTCCTATATATATTCCAAGGTTAAAGTTTGATCGGCCATTTTAGCCCCACCCTACCCCCGGGGGTCATGATTTAACAAATTTGTATCTACACTACCTGAGAATGATTCCACATGAGTTTCATTTTTCCTGGCCCAGTGGTTCTTGAGAAGAAAATTTTTAAAAGATTTTTCCTATATATTCCTATGTAAAACTTTGATCGGCCATTTTGGCCCCACCCTACCCCCAGGGGTAATGATTTGAACAAATTTGAATCTACACTACCTGAGAATGATTCCACATAAGTTTCATCTTTCATGGCCCAGTGGTTCTTGAGAAGAAGATTTTTTTTAAAATGCCATTCATTTTTCTCTTATTCATAATTATCTCCCCTTTGAAAAGGGGATGGCCCGTCATTTGAACAAATTCGAATTCCCTTTACCCAAGGATACTTTGTAGCAAGTTTGGTTGAAATTGGCCCAGTGGTTCTTGAGAAGAAGATGAAAATGTGAAAAGTTTACAACGACGACGAGAACGGCAACAACGACAGACAACGGACAAATTTTGATCAGAAAAGCTCACTTGAGCCGTTGGCTCAGGTGAGCTAAAAATGCTCTAATAAAAGGATATGTTATCACTTTTTTTCTCAAAAGAAATGCTCATTCTCATAGGAAGGGCTCTCATTTCTGAGAGAATCCTAGAGGTTCGGAATTCCCAATTTAATTGCAACCATTTCAACATTAATCAAGTTCCTACCACTTTAGATTAGAGCATGACCAGTTTGCAATGTATTTTGATCTCATAAACATGTTTTAAAGTAACGGTTTAATATTATCTTTAGTCCTATTTTAAAAGTTTTCATTTAATTCAAAGATTATTTACAAGTAGAATCAAAAGGACTTATTTCCTGTAAAATTAAATTAATATTATCGTATATAATGATTTTTAAAAAGTCTGAGAGATATCAGTTTCTATCAAAAAAATTATTTTGATTGATACATATAGGATTTACAAAGTAAAACCATGACACAACGAAGATGTAATTTTAGGGCTTTTGAAGGAATGTGAAGTTATAAATCCCGACATATATCATTTTACATCTTTAAAGTAGAAAAGCTATTCATCGAGGGTAATTCACATTCCTTTCTTTCATAATTGTTCAAGTAATTTACCTTAAAACGTAATGATAATATCTACAATTGTCCAATGGAGAATTAATCTTTTCCCTTTGTGTGGTTTCTTTTCGAGCAACTGGGTTATAAAATAAAAGAAACCAATGGGAATATGTTCATTTATTTACAAAATATTTGTAAAAAAAAAAAAAAAAAAAAAAAAAAAAATCAGCTTTCGGTTTGTTCTGAAGGAATGTTCGAGTTTTAATTAAATACCTTGATTTCAGATACGTTTGTTTCCAAAATAAGCAAGTTGTTCCATATATTGGCATTATTTTTTTTTTTACATTTCAACTTTTAATCGTAAAACCCGGGACAATCTCAAGCAAAAGCAGTGTGAAAAAGGTAAAAAAAGAAAAATAGCGTGCAAACTTTATAACTATGGCCTTTTGATTAACTTCTTCCGAAAAAAACGTTTAGTTTTTTTTTTTCATTAGGAATTAGTGACTTAATTCGGCGAAAAGTGAATGTGACATTAACTCCAAAAATGTGTTTAAAAGTAACACGGTCCTTCAAAGAAGAACTTAATGTCAAAATTTAAACGTTCTTTTAAATTAATACAGTTTCTTAAATAAATTAATATTATGATACATGTAATCTGTAATGCTAACATAAATTCAATCACGCAAACAATGAAGCATATTCACTGATCTGTATCAATTTAAAAGAAAGTAGAATAAAATTACAAGTATAAACGATAAAGTGTAATGACAAAATGAAGAATGATACAAGCTCAAAGTGAAATGTAATAAAGACCAATATCATTAAAGTGACATATAGTTACAATAATAACAAAGAATGAAGAAGTAGGCAGAATAAGAGTAAAAGCAAGATACATGGAGTGGTAATTCCATTCCATACAAAACCAGCACTAATTTGGATTCAAATCTTACATGGAAGCCACAAGAGGGCCCAGAAGTAAGACATTTTTTCCTTATTTTCTTAATTTTGATTTTCATCATATTTGAGATACTTTTTTTTTTTTTGGAAAACATAGAACACAATAAGCTTGCCTCTCTGAGATCTTTACAAATAAACTGCATCTGATACTAGTACATAAAATTGGTAGATTGGCAATCTTACGCTCTGTTTTCTAAAACAATGTATGCTGTAATATTGATGAAAATTTACATAAAAAAATGATTCGAAAATTCATCTACAATCCTTGTACTTAGTGTTTTCTGACCTTCTCTAACATCTGAACATTTCATACTTTGGAACCAATTCTCATTTTGTGATAGGGATATCAACAGGTTTATATTGATAAACTGTTGCGTCATTCTAAAAGACACCTAACATCAGGGGCCAAAAAGGGGTTCTAGCCTATCTTATCTTTTGCAAATGTCCATTATATAACATGTACAACCAAACTGTCAATGGATTTTTGATTACATTTATCCCATCATTACAAGGGGCACACGTCCCGGACGATATGACTTGTCGGCAAGGGATACTCACTCGTCCATCACAACTGATTCCACCTTTGATGTTTTAGAGGTCCGTGTTTGTTCTACTCCTTTGTATTGCATGAATGAACTTTGGGGCTAAAGGCAGCTCTGAACACTGTACTAAAGAGTTCTATGGGAGTATTATCCTAGAACTCTACATCCCAAAATGCAAAATTTATGCAATTGTGACCTGCAGTCTCGTTTAAAGTCATCATTTCCTACATTCTATCATAGAAACAATGACTATGTCAGCAAATAAAATTTATCATTAAGTCAAATCCTGACAGACGTTTTTCATACTAATTGTTAGTTCATTATTTATACATTGAATCGACAACGGATTTTTCCGTTATTTCTCAATCATGACACAAGGAGCACAGGGCGGATGTGACCAGTCAGCAGGGGATGCTCACTCTTCCATGGCACCTGACCCCACCTTGATGTGTCGGAGGTCCGTATTTCCTCTGCTCCTATTTTGTATTGTTTTATGGACTTTGATATTGAATACTGTTCGTTATATCCATATCCTTCTCATCTGATAGTTCTTGCAGTAACTTGGAAATAGACCTATCCCAAAAATTCAAACTAGTCACCCATCAAGATAATTTAATTCAAATCCAGCATCTGAAGCAAGTTTGAGTGTTCATCCATTGATGCATCATCTTTGCAAGTTTGGTTGATAAAGGCCTTATAGTTTCTTAGTGATAGACCTGCATCCATAACTTTGACCTTGTTCATTATCTGAAAAATGTATGTCAGATCTAGCATCTTAATAATATTTATATAGTACGTATCCTTTGCATCATCCATGAAAGTTTGGTCATCATAGGCCTCATATTAAATTTGAAATGAAACCTGCACCAAAAACATTAACGTGTTCACTCATCCGGAAAATGTAGGTCAGATCTGACAAGTCTGGTTGTACGCATCCTTAGATGTACATGTATCACCTATGCATGTTTGGTCATCATAGGTCTCATATGTACTTAGAAATGTGACATGCACCAAAAACATTAACCTGTTCATTCATCCGAAAAATGTAGGTCAGATTCATCGTCTAAAGCAAGCTTGGCTGCATACATCCTTGGATGCATCATCCATGCAAGTTTGGTCATCATAGGGCTAATAGTCACTAGGAAATAAGACCTACGCCAAAAACTGCACCAAAAATGTTAACCTGCTCCAAAAGCATTAACCTGCCCGAGTGGTCATTCCTTTGCTAAAAATACAGCATCTGAAACCTAGAAAAAAAGAAACACACTAGAAGCATTTTCAATGCATGTCTGATCAATATAGAGCATGGAAGTTTTTAAAAAAGAAAGTTGCTTAAAAAAAAAACCCTTAACCTGGAATGCTGACACAACTTTGTTGAGGTGAGATAAAATGGTTATGCTAATTAAAAGAGCCATAAATTGATGTAAGGTCATCTTTAAAAAAAAATGATTGCTCTCTTCGGACTCAAGGTTAATGTATTGGGATGGTAGCTAGGTGGGAATATTTTTTCTAGTAGATTTCAAGATTTGTTGATGGTATAAGAGAGATAAAAAGAAAAATTGAAATATTATGTCCTGAAATGTTAAAAAAAAGTTGATTCGGTCCATTTGAAAGTCATTTGGTCAGGAGAGGCCAACCAAACAATTTAAAGATGGTCTCATGCAAAGTGATACAGATCTTCAACTTTAATATTTTCAAGGTCAAATTCAAACGAAATATGATGTAATATGATGAACTCATCAAGGCCAACAGGTGTTCTAAGTTATGAATTGAGATTTGTAGATTTGATACAGAAAGCAATACAAGGTAAACTAATTAATAAAACATTTTTAGATATATTGTGCTGAAAACTTTTATTTCTGACTCGATTCTTTTGATAACATAAGACTGAAATCTTCAATAAAAGGATCATTGTTGTTTTTCCAGGTTTTATTCATTTCCAGAAATTTGATCCTTTTTTCTGCAATTGCATGCTGTTTTTCAGGAACTATAGTCTTGAATTTTGCGGAAATACTTTTGTGTACTGTATGCTTGAATTTGTCTGCTCTTTACATAATTAAAAACTGGTGTTAATGTCTTTCCATGTAAAACACCATAGTCTACAAAGGCACAAAACTCTATTGCAACATCCAGTAATGCCTTCAAGTCATATTTTTCGGCTGCTATGATGTAATCCAGTAGTGACGTCACTGTCAGACTTGTTCCAGGTCTACACATGTCTGTCATTAACTTCTCACAATCGGCAACAAAGGGGGACTGGAATTTGTGGGCCAAAGGAAGTATTTGTAGTTAATTTCTTACACAAATGTAACAATAAAAAACGAATTCATTTTTTTATCTATTTGATTAAAACAATATATGTAAATTTGGAAGACTTGTTACAGTAATAACCATGGTTCTATTAGCTGATCAAACTTTAAGCAACATAATTTTAAGACCTTATGTCCTTCTGTTCAAAATTGCATTTAAAAATTGTTAAAAACGCAATATTGATTGCCAATTATTAAAGCGTGTTTCAAACAATCCTTCTAAAAAGATTTTAGGCTGTCTCTAATGCGATTGTCAGTCTTGCTTTTATGATCTATTGTGGAATACCGATCTCGGGGTATTTTCATTGTATTTAAATGTAAGCTTGTCAGGTTACAAAATATGAAACAGTTTCAAAGTATTGAATCATGAGCTCAGCGTGTTTCCAACAATCCTCCAAAAGAGATTTAAGTCTTTCGTTACTGCAATTGTAATTCTACCTGTCATTCTACTTGTCATGGTGGAATACTGATCCCGATGTAGTTTCATAGTATAAACGTAAATATAAGTTTGTGTGGTAACTGTATATCTTATAGTTTCAAAGTACAGAGACAAGATTTCATAAATATGTATAAAAGCTAATTATCAAAATCCTGTTTTTTAAAATTCAAAAGTCAAAATAAACCACAAGGGCAGTATTTGCAAAATAGAACAAAGGTCAAGGTCACGTGGATTGCAATGTTGGTATTTTTCAATTATATTTTCTAACAAACAGTACACATGCTATATAGCATAGACTTACCCCTGAAATGTCAAAAATATGCTGTATTTCGGCTTTATGATCTATTTTGAAAAGTACGTCAAGGGACAAGTTCAATGGTCACGAGGTCAGTTACCATGGTAATTTGTAAAAGTGCCAAGCAAATTTGTGCAAAATATCAAATCCATATTTCTTACAGATCTCAGTATAGGGTGTGACAGACGGACGGACAGACAGACGCCGGATAAAGATATCCATAAGTGTCGCTCTGCTCTAAGGCGACATAGTAAAGTGCGGACAAAACTGGACCAAAACGATAATGAAACATGACAAGTTCATCACGAAATGTTACAGATTTATTCATTTACAACAATGTAGGTGTATTTTTTATCATAGTATCAATGAATCTGAAAATACTTTCCACATTATGAAATGTGGGATTGATGTTTACATGAGTAAATTATATCAATTCATTGATGAACTCACTCATGGTCCTTTATTGTTTTGATCCAGAGATATTTCAGAGTAGCTAAAGTTCGTTCATATCATTTTCTCTTAATTTTTGCCATTCCCATTTAACCCTAAAACGTTAATATAATCAGGATGACACCAAAAAGGTATGATTTTTTGTAAGTTATAATAATTTGATTTCGTGATCTATATCAGTTTTTATATTATCGCATTTCTTTCTATAATTCATCTCAAGAACCTGGAGTCTTTTTTCTGCTATTAAATGCCGGGTTTTAAGATCTAATTCTAAAAACTTTGAAGAAATTTCCTTTGTCTCATCTGCATCATAGAAAAACGTTGTTTGGCTGTCGATGCTAATTATGGAAGTTGGTACACTAAAAGGCAAAGAACATGTGTTTCTTCTAAATGTTTTCCCATTGAGAATATCAAAATCTATGTGGGCACAAAATTTCACTGCCGAATCTAGAAAATTCTGCAGATCATATTTTTCGGCTGCTATGATGTAATCCAGTAGTGACGTCACTGTCAGGCCAGTTCCAGGTCTACACAAGTCTGCCATAAACTTCTCACAATCATCTACAACGGGAGACTGGTATTCGTGTGCCAAGGGTAATATCTGTAATACATTTTGTTCTGAAAGAAAACATTAATACATGTAAAGCTTAAAATTTTTCAATGAAATGGTCGTCTACAATCTAAATTTTATTATTTTGGGTAATTAGCAAGGTAGTTAGCTATTTATCAGAATGTTGAACACTGTGAGTATTTTTTGGATTCGTAGACGTTGCTGTAAGAGTTCATTGAACTCGAATTTCAGTTTGACAAAATATATGTAGGCCACACTATATGGCATTACAAAAAGGGGTATAGGACAATCATTTATCTGTGCAATTCAGTAAATAAAATATACACCAAAATCATTTTACCTGTTATTGGTTGCCTCATATTTGGATAAAAGCATCTCAGAAACTCAACAACATCTTTAGCCTTTTTGTTGTCTAGAGTTATCTCCCTTGAAGTGCTTTCTTTGAAGTTACCAGAAAACATGGCATTAAAAACCGGTGAATGGTGGGAAAGGACAGCTTTGTTGACATGAATTTTCTTATCTTCTACAACTAAAGTTACATCTGTTTGTGGAAAACCAATATCGTCGAGGTAATCCACACTTCCTGCACATGAATCAGTCATTTCATACGCTGTATCTAAGAGTAGATAAAGTTTTAAAAAAAAAAATTTATTCTTGCATTTAAAAAAAGAAAAGACTGATAAGACTGAAGGCCATTCGTTTTTGTTCCATTATTGAAAACTAAAGGTTCGAGGGGTTAAACACAAAGTCGGTGGATTGGATTGATGTGATAATATCAAGACTATGATGGCTGTACTCATTAAGCATTACAAGGATACATACGTATGATTTTGGAATTGCAACTTGCAAATATATAAAAGATGTATGTATAGGAAGTTCTAAATAAGTAAACATAATCATCTCAAGACATCCTTGATAAGCTAAATTCATGTCCGGAGTGACATATGTGAACGCACTAGCTATAGTCTGAAAAATCTGACGTTTACATGGCTTTTTTACGATTTTTGATATTTTACATGCCAGGAAAACGTCAGAACCGGCGCCATTACGAAAACTGGAAATTTCGCCGTCTTCAACTGGAGTTGATTCTCCATACTTGTGAACCGAACTAAATGCCGAAATCAAAATTTATCAAAAGCACAATGCCTCTAGTACTCACCAATATCGATGAAAAGAAAATATCACTCCACATTTCGTAACAGGACATGCTAGATCTTAAAATGCACGAAATGAAGGCAAATCTCGACAGTGTGATAAAACCTTTTCCATCGGATTATTTATTTCATAAATGAATCATCAAACTATATTGGTAAGTTCTTTAGGTATTGTACTACTGATAACTTTTAACTTTGAAACTTACTTCAGTTCGCAAGTATCTAAAATCAACTCGAGAATGCCGCCTCCGGTTACAAGCGGCGATCCCTCGGTTTACGTAATGGCGCCGGTTCTGACGTTTTCCTGGCATGTAAAATATCAAAATCGTAGAAAAGCCAGGAAAACGTCAGATATTTCGGACTATAGCTATAGTATGTAATTGAAGGATAACTTGAATTGTGCAAGTGACTGGGAATGCTGTTCTGTTTAAATGAATTAACCTTACAGCTAATATTCACCATCAGTTCATATAAACTTCTTCCTGTTTGTTTAGTTTCTTTTTAAGCACCTGGGTTATTAGATTTTTTCATTATAAAATTTATACACTTTTTTTTGCTATGGAAGAATGTTCGAGTACTTTTGAAATGCAAAAAAATATTCATTAGTTTAAAAAATTGATCACAATAATAGAATTGAAGAAGCACCTAAAACTCTTCACTACTATTGTAAAATGCGTGCACTTCCGGGTCCAGAGTTTTGACCAAAGAATTGGACAATAATAAAATAATGATATCATGAATACTCTTACATTTTTATTTGCTTGATGAACTTAAAGTTCCTTAATGTATCCCTATTTTTGCCAAGGGAACGATATGGTCCCAACTAGCTGGTTTACAAATATGCACTTTCTCAAAACTAAAATACCAACAATTCTAAACAGCTGAGATTTGTATCAAGTGTCAGGTAAGAAATTAATAAATTTTACTTTTTAACTTTCTTTTTTTATGAAAAACCTAGTTTTATATATAATATTAGCATAATAATCAAAAAATATATAAAAGGACCTCACCTAAAGCTCAAAGCCGAAGTTACATCAAACGAAAGTACATTTCTTTTCAGCAAGAGGCTTATGAACTATGACGGACACCCTAAAACATGTAGCGTGCTTTTCTCACCTAGACCTCGGGATCTTGTTTCATGTGACGTGTAACAATTATATATAGACAAATTGCTGTCCTTTAAAAAAGGACTGCAAAACGTGGACCATATGCATGTGTTTCTAACCGAAATTCAGTTTAAGAGAATATCTAGGTGTATTGAATATCCATGTAGGTTTGTTCACATTCACATTTTCTACAATGATCTGCCAACGACTGATAGTAGTCTCAAAGGAAAATTGTTAAACTTTATCTCTGATTAGCCTTTAGTTTTGTCAGTTTAAAAAATCGGGCTATTTTGGTACTTTTAACCCATAATGGCTGGGACTTAAAACCTGTTTTGGTTTAAACGTAAGAAATCTATCATGGGAAAAAAGATCTGATTGTTCACGTGTTGCACAGCTCTGTAGTAAGCAGATATTTTTGTTTTTGTCGTAGACCCCCCTCCTCCATTTGTTTCTACATACCTCTATCAAACGGTATTTGGATTGCTGAAATATCAAATTATTTTGCGAGCCTTGAAGCACAAAACTAATGCCGGTAAAAAGCTTTTTTTATCTCTTAAAAGCTAGAACTAGTCTTTGAATGACGTTTTTATTCAAGTCGTTAAGTTACATGTATCTACTTGACTGTGTACATGTATATACACAAGTTCTTCCTACTTTTTAAAATGTTTGTACAAGTGCCACAGAATCAATGTTTAGTTTGTATAAGAGAATATACATAAGTACAATGTATATGTATAAGAGAGAAATTCGACGGATTCGCCAATTAATACATGTATAGAAATACGGTATGCGGATTTGAAAGCGTGATTTGCATACGAAGGGCATATTCTAATTTGAATAGGTCGAATAATTCTACGGGCAAGTTGCCTAAGGTGCGAACTCTTTAGCAATTTTGCACATGCGTAGCCTGTCATTTGCCCATGGCATCCGGTTTAACCTCGCTTATATATTTACTGCGTGGACCTCAGGGTCCACGCAATTACGACTTTCAGGATCACAATGATGCAGCAGTTTGGGTGTAAATGTGTGTTCTTTTTTTTACTTCTTTTACAAGTACAAAGTACGGATGACTGTTTTTTTATCTATCCTACGATTAAAACATATATCCTGTATTCACCTAAATGACGTTGAATTTTCTGTTTACTGTTATCCAACTTTTATTTGCTTGCGAAAAATATCTGCAAGTTTCGCGGTCTTATTATACCAATATGCACTACTATGAGTATCAGTTGGAATAACACTTTTAGAATTAAATCTCAGTTCTAAAATACAATCAAAATAGTGAGCCTTACAAGATAGATATTGCTGTTTCCTGCTTTGTCATCAGGGACCAGTGCAAAATGATAGTATACGTCTATTAATCTAATTCTATATGCACTTCTGAATTATTGAACAAAGAAGGATAGAATATACAATGGCTGGAACGTTATTGTTGACAACTTACACGCACGATCACGTTACACGAACGATTCCGCACGATTAACGCACGATTAAACCTGTTACACGAACGATCTTTCACGTTCACGATTCTACACGTTACACGATCTTACACGATTGTGAACGCAAACGCACGATTCTTCACTCAAAATAGTTCAAAATATTTAGGAATCAATATTTTCAAAACGAAATACGGCTTAATACTTATTTAAGATTTCAAAGAATTATCAATATTATTTCATAGACTTTGAAGAAAAAAACGGAAAATGATATTTCTGTAACTAAATATATGCAAGACTTAATATTTTAGATTAAAAATAATTATTTCTAAGGTAATTCTCCGATCAAAAAAACGGATTTTGTACGTTCTATTAGACGATGTACATGTACGTGGGTCGTATAATTTGATTGAATTGGATATCATGATATGCAGAAAGGGGGATACGATTGAACAAAAATGGCAGCATGGAATGACTTAAATTATAATTACAAATGTTATCCTTATGTTTCCAATGATTCAATGTCTGATAAACTTGCCAATTATTCAACTTTTTTATTTGCAGAAATTTAAAATTAATTAATTACAAATAAGCTCAACAGATAAACACCGATAATCAAAACTCCCGAGAATCATGCCGTGTCCATGTATATTTGTCGACTAACTAGTTATGTAAGCATTGAGAAATGTTTATTTCTTTGTAAAAAAAATATATTTATTTTCAATGAATTGATTTCAAGATTATCTTGACCACAATAAGAAGTAAATAATAATTAAAATCAGATTTTTCAAAAAAGCTTTAAAGATCTAAGTACGGTTTATCACTATGTTGATCGCGCTATTTGACAAGAACTTAATATTGTACGACTTAATATATTGCTTGTTTTAGGGCGATTATTAGTTCGTTCTGCATTCTATTATGTAAATTGCGCTTTTTCATTTTATTTAAATTTTAATTAATAAATTAAGAAAAACAAACAAGGGAAATGCTTATTTTACAAATAACATTCCGATAAAAACTTACAAAACGAAATTTACACGATACTAAACGCACGATCTTGCACGATTAAAAACGCACACGATTGAGTCTGATACACGAACGATCTTGCACGTTAAACGAACGATCACTCACGATACACGAACGATTCTACACGATTGGTTTGTCAACAATAACGTTCCAGCCACTGTAGTTTTCATAATTCATATTGCACCTCGACGCTTAATATTGGATTTTAACATACTAACATACATCTCATACATTTTATTCACTCTGAAAAAGTGCCAAGCTTTTCTTTTTCATATCTGGCCCATCGCCTGACGTAATGGTAATCTTTGAAATTTTCAAATCGCAAGATCAAATTATGACTAGGACGATTTTCTCCCTAGTTTTAACTTTCAGTAGGGCGTGACATTCTCGGCGCTACGTAATTGCAAATACTAGTAGATTCTCATTGGTTAAGAAATTAATAACATCAGGAACTAAAAATTTTTGTTGACAACAATGAGACGACTTATGCCCCACCTCTGTGCCGTGAGAGAACTTTTAATTGGCTATTTACTACACCAGTTGACATTCGGCCGAATTTCTATCCTATGTATATTTCAACAGTGAAGGAAAGCTGTGTAAATTTCAGAAGCTAATTAGGTAACGTCGAGAATGCCACGCCTTACTGAAAGTCCAAACTAAGCGTGTAATGGTCCTATTAATAGTATAGTCTCATTTCAACGTCGCTAAGAGTGAGATTTACCCAGGTATATCACATATTCATACAGTAAAATAAATAATTGATTAAAAAAAATAATAAAATCCCACCAGTAGAGAAAAATATATGTGTACTGGTACAATGTATATTTCGAAAAACCATGTCATGCTGCAAACAGACATGAAAGCTGAGTGTAGGACACATTTCATACTAATAGTTATACCATTATTTACAAACTGTTATATCCAATCATAAGAAGGGGCACATGGTGGGTGTGACCGGTCGGCAGAGAATACTCACTCATCCATCACGCCTGATCCCACTTCTGATGTGTTTGAGGTTAGTGATTTTTCTGCTCCTGATTTGTATTATTTGTTCTGTTCCTCCTTTGTATTGTTTGCTCTGTTCCTGATTTGTATTATTTGTTCTGCTCCTGATTTGTATTATTTGTTCTGCTCCTGATTTGTATTGTTTGTTCTGCTCCTGGTTTGTATTATTTGTTCTGCTCCTGATTTGTATTATTTGTTCTGCTCCTGATTTGTATTATTTGTTCTGCTCCTGATTTGTATTATTTATTCTGTACCTGGTTTGTATTATTTGTTCTGTTCCTGGTTTGTATTGCTTGTTCTGTACCTGGTTTGTATTATTTGTTCTGTTCCTGGTTTGTATTGTTTGTTCTGCTCCTGATTTGTATTATTTGTTCTGCTCCTGATTTGTATTGTTTGTTCTGTTCCTGATTTGTATTATTTATTCTGCTCCTCCTTTGTATTATTTATTCTGTTCCTCCTTTGTATTGTTTGTTCTGTTTCTGATTTGTATTGTTTGTTCTGCTCCTGGTTTGTATTATTTATTCTGTACCTGATTTGTATTATTTGTTCTGTTCCTGGTTTGTATTGTTTGTTCTGCTACTGATTTTTATTATTTGTTCTGTTCCTGGTTTGTATTGTTTGTTCTGCTCCTGATTTTTATTATTTGTTCTGCTCCTCCTTTGTATTATTTATTCTGTTCCTCCTTTGTATTGTTTGTTCTGCTCCTCCTTTGTATTATTTGTTATGTTCCTGGTTTGTATTGTTTATTCTGCTCCTGATTTGTACTATTTGTTCTGTTCCTCCTTTGTATTGTTTGTTCTGCTCCTGATTTGTATTGTTTGTTCTGTTCCTGATTTGTATTGTATGTTCTGTTCCACTTTGTATTGTTTGTTCTACTCCTGATTTGTATTGTTTGTTCTGCTCCTCCTTTGTATTGTTTGTTCTGCTCCTCCTTTGTATTGTTTGTTCTGTTCCTGATTTGAATTATTTGTTCTGTTCCTGGTTTGTATTGTTTGTTCTGCTCCTGATTTTTTTTATTTGTTCTATTCCTGATTTGTATTATTTATTCTGTACCTGGTTTGTATTATTTGTTCTGTTCCTGGTTTGTATTGTTTGTTCTGCTCCTGATTTGTATTATCTGTTCTGTTCCTGATTTGTATTTGTTCTGTTCCTAATTTGTATTATTTATTCTGTTCCTGATTTGTATTATTTGTTGTGTTCCAGGTTTGTATTGTTTGTTCTGTTCCTGGTTTGCATTGTTTGTTCTGCTCCTGATAATTATTATTTGTTCTGCTCCTGATTTGTATTATTTGTTCTGTTCCTGGTTTGTATTGTTTGTTCTGTTCCTGATTTGTATTGTTTGTTCTGCTCCTCCTTTGTATTATTTATTCTGCTCCTCCTTTGTATTATTTGTTCTGTTCCTGATTTGTATCATTTGTTCTGTTCCTGATTTGTATTATTTGTTCTGTTCCTGATTTGTATTATTTATTCTGCTCCTCCTTTGTATTATTTATTCTGTTCCTCCTTTGTATTGTTTGTTCTGT